TTTTCATTTCATCTATGAGCTCTTCTACTTTTTCGTTTGCAACAAGTGATCGGGTGGCAGATGTCGGACCGGCGGCGAAGGCCCAAGTCCGAGCGTGGGGAAATTACGCGCGCGCGTCGGTTCGTCTTGCATGTTGCCGTGCGACTAACCAACAAAGTTGGATAGTCTGCGAGCTTGCATAAGATAACCGTGCTAACGAGCAGTTGGCCGATAGTTGGACAACTTTTTAATTGTGCGTAATCTGAAGGGAATCTTGATTCTGATACGATCGGTGTCCAATTAATTAGTTGGACGATTTAGTTGGACAAGATGTGTGGGCTAGCATATGTCACTATACCTATTGCTTTACTCTGCGATTTAGTCCGCCAACTTATAATTATAAATCTGCGGTCTCTCTTAGTGTTCATATGTGTACTCTGCTGCATTCGATAGTCCTCTTTTACATTGATATAGTTTCTATTACACAATATAACTAATAACAAGATTTTGAGTTTATAATACATTCAAGCTAATAATATTGTAAATAAAATTAAAACATTACTTATTTTTAAAAAACTTTATTGCGTCCCTTTAGAAAAAAAAAGAATACAAAGGGCGGACATAATGTCTTGAGGCATTCTCTACCAGTCAACCCATGGAGTGGTGAGAGTTTGTCGTAGGCGTAGCAATAAAAAGAAAAAAGTTTATAACTAAAATTAATACACATAACACAACAGATTATGATATAATATTATAAGTAAATGCATATATATATACCTAGTCAGGTCATAACCAAGTATTGTCACACAGTAAAAACTTTTCTTTTAGAATGCTGGCCACAAAAAAGTTTATTGAATTCGAATTTCGAATTGTTCATGAAAATAAAACTGTATACTTTTTAGAATTTTACTCATTTTTAAATATGGAGTGGACGCTTAAAGAAGACCGTGTTGCAGTTATTGCGTTGCATCGTTGCAGTTACGGGCCAATTCAAATTTTTGACATACTGAAAAATTTGAATATAACCAAAAGATTCGTTTATCGTACCATAAAACGATACAATGAAGACTCTAGTGTAGATGACAGGTCAAGAAGTGGTCGCCCTCGGTCTGTTAGGACTCCAGCAGTGATAAAAGCTGTGAAGGCGCGAATTCAAAGAAATCCCAAACGTAAGCAGAAACTGTTGGCCCTTCAGATGGGGTTAAGCAGAACCACGGGGAAAAGGGTGTTAAATGAAGACTTAGGGCTTCGGGCATATCGAAGAAAAACAGGACATCGTTTGAATGCTCGTCTAATGGACCTGAGACTGAAGAGATGCCGCGCTTTGTTGAAGCGGTACGCGGGAAAAAAAATATCGGAAAATTCTTTTTTCGGATGAAAAAATTTTTACCGTAGAAGAGAGCTACAACAAACAAAATGATAAGGTGTACGCACACAGTAGTGAAGAAGCGAGCAACCGTATTTCGCGTGTCCAACGAGGTCATTTTCCATCCTCGCTCATGGTATGGTTGGGAGTTTCTTATTGGGGCTTAACAGAGGTACATTTTTGTGAGAAAGGTGTAAAAACGAATGCAGTTGTGTATCAAAGTACAGTCCTGACGAACCTTGTGGAACCTGTTTCTCATACCATGTGCAATAACAGGCACTGGGTATTCCAACAAGATTCGGCGCCAGCTCATAGAGCGAAGAGCACACAAGACTGGCTGGCGGCGCGTGAAATCGACTTCATCTGGCACGAAGACTGGCCCTCCTCCAGTCCAGATTTGAATCCATTAGATTACAAGATATGGCAACACTTGGAGGAAAAGGCGTGCTCAAAGCCTCATCCCAATTTGGAGTCACTCAAGACATCTTTGATTAAGGCAGCCGCCGATATTGATATGGACCTCGTTCGTGCTGCGACAGACGACTGGCCGCGCAGATTGAAGGCCTGTATTCAAAATCACGGAGGTCATTTTGAATAAACTTTAGTGTCATAAGAATCTATGTTTTGTTAAGTTCATTTTGGTATAAAAATGGTTACATAATGAATAAACTTGTTTCAATTATTTTATATTAAACATGTGACAGAATTTATGACCTGACTATGTATATATTCACAATTTAACATATATTAACACATATTCATAATATAAATATATTATTATTTGAATGTTTTATATTTCGTTATTCAATCCAGTATGGAAGGGCACACTGAAATGATCGGGAATAGAATATTTCGGATTGAGTTACAATAAATCCTTTTTTAGAATTTGAATACTGGCCTCTTAGAATCTTAATGATATTCAAACAATAAAAAAAATGTTTAAAAACAAAAACTATGTTGGTTTAAAGTTGACACGTTGTTAACAGAAATGGAGCTCACGCGTGAACATTTCCGTGCCATAATTTATCACAATTTTCGTCGCGGCTTATCACAAGATAAAAGTCAGAGCGAACTTTTTTCGATTTATCATGTTGAAGCACCGAGTCAAACGACAATACACCGCTGGTATGCCGAGTTCCGACCCGGTCGTGTGTCGCTCAGCACTGTTTCTTCTGCAGGTCGACCAGGAACAGCGGTCATGCCTGAAAACATCGCAGCTGTGCGAACTATTATATTAGATGACCGTCATGTGACATACGAGCAGATTTGGACTGTTATCAGTATCGGTATGACTGCAATTCAGTCGATATTACATAATGAGCTGTGTGTAAGAAAGCTAGTTTCCCGCTGGGCTCCCCACAATTTGTCCGAAGAGCAAAAGGCGGCTCGTGTAGATTGGTGCTGGAATACTCTGCAACGCTTCAACGGAGGGAAGTCAAATGCCGTTTATAATAGCGTCTCAGGTGACGAATCATGGATTTATTCACACGAACCTGAAATAAAACATCAGTCAGCAGTTTGGGTCTTCGAAGACGGTCAAACCAACGAAAGTGGGTCGCTCCCGGAGCGTGTCAAAAAAAAAGAAATGCTACGTTTGTCTCGAAAAAGGGGCAAGTTGCTACAATTCCTTTACAGGAACGCAGAACGGTTACCGCTGAGTGGTATATCACGGTTATGATAGCCGAACTCCGAAAAAATAACCCAAAACGTCGCATCATCTTACATCACGATAATGCGAGCTCCCATACGGCTCGGAAGACAAATGATTTTTTGAAGCAGGAAATAATTGAGCTGATGAGCCATCCTCCATACAGTCCTGACCTGAGCCCATACGATTTCTTTACATTCCCTAGAATGAAAGATTTATCACACGGTCGACGGTTTGAAGATCCCGAAGCAGCTGTGGAAGCGTACAAATCAGCCATTTTGTCAACATCAACTTCAGACTAGAATTACTGTTTTAATGATTGGTTTGCACGAATGGAAAAGTGCATTAAGTTGAACGGGGAATACTTCGAAAAACAATAAAATACAATTAAAATATCCCGTGCATGTGGTTTTACTTATTCCCGATCATTTCAGTGTGCTCCACGTAATGCCGTTGCGGTTATGTATTTAAATTTAAAACTGCAGCCCCATCGCTTTGACTTCAATGTCAGTTCTTGATCCATATGTCTCCGTAGAATTCGTGTAATGAAAATACTTAATAACCTTCATTCCGTTTTCCGATTTTAAATAAAATCTCTTCTTTGTATGAAATATGTTGGGATTATTAGGTTTAGAAATCAATAGTAATTTAAAAATTAGAAGTAAAAATTACTTTTCTTCTTTAACTTACTCAGGAGATAAGCACTCGAGTTGTTAAATATTACACAAAACTTACCCTTTTTATGTTAATTAATAATATCTAAATGCTACTTCGTTTTGTATTGTTAATGAAGAGAAACGCAGATCCTTTTCACTGAAAATGAGGCATTCTATCTTTTTTTTTATAGGTTAAGGGTGACAAACGAGCACACAGTCCACCTGATGGTAAATGGATACTGCGGCCCATAGACATCTACATCTATCCTCTGTTACAAATCAAAATGTAGATGCGTTGTCACCCGTAAGGACTAAGATGGAATGCCTCATTTCCAGTAAAAAGGGTCTTAGTCCATCGTCTCCAAACAGGGTGACAAGCTTATTATAGTCACTCGTGGCGGTGGCAATTTAGCATGTGTCCTCATGGGACTATAGGGAAGGGCTGTTGAGAGTGGCCTTTATTTGTGAAAACAATGGAGCCAGCTCCTCGAATGTAAAATGTGCGTCTCTAATATTCTGCGTATATAGTGTTTGGCCAATTTAACTCCAACCTCTTATAGACCGCCAAACTAATGGGCATAGACCATACTGGATGTGAACTCTTCCTTGGGAAACTCCAAATTCAATTAGAGATTTGGTGTGTGATTTAAAAAAAAATATTACCCTTTTGAGAGGCTGATACAAAATTACGACCGTTGTCGCAATTGATGATTTTAGTCAAACCTCTTCTCGCTAAACGCTTCAAAATTAGTAGAAAAGTTTCTTTACTTAAGTCACTTACTGCTTCCAGTATGCATTTGTAGTGGAACCAAATGGAATATACAGGTAACATTTAGATATCTTACAGCCTCGACCTTTATGGTTATAGTTATCATAAATGGCCCCGCATGGTCCGTGCCAACGGTGGGGCCACCCATTATATTAAATAAAATCTTACCCTTAAAATTATCACAGATTAAAAATTACATGTAGTCCGTCTTGCTAACTTCTGACCACTCAAAGGCCAGTAAGTTTTGCAAACAGATGCCAGTAGTTGCTGGAATCAAGCATGTACTCGCAAAGGTCGCTTATGCTCACTTTCGAATAATAATTTAGTAAGGTGATGGTTACTGTTTAATGTGAACGGGTGTTTTTTTTCTCGTAGAGATAACTTAAAGCATTTACCTATAAGAATGATGCCTTCACTCTCAATAAAGTGATTAGTGCGCATAAAGCAGTTAGGGACCTTATCGATTTGTTATCATTTAACAAAACTAATTTGCGGGAAAAGGAATCTACTTGAGACAATTTTATTAAGTATTTTAGAACCCTCTAGAATATGTAAAAAGTGAAGTAAAGCAAAAATAACTTTTCACGAATACAAAACAAAATGTATTAATAAATAAGAAACAATAAAAATATTTACTGAAATCTGACTCTGAATGATAACAGCATGCAAAAGAAAACAAAAACTAACAACATTAAAATTGATAATTTTACCCGAGACTTGATAGAATGTTACCGCGGCGGAGATCATACGCATGCGCAGCGCTGTATCAGTATCTGTAATGGTTGCGTTGAGAATGTCGATATAAGGACGCAGTATTGTGAATACACTGACGCTGGCTAGCGCTGGAATGGCAATCACACAGGTCTGAGGGCCCATAGAAGTGACGGCGATCTGAGTACCGGCAAAGAGCAGCGGACCGCCCGAATCTCCGGTACAGACGCCGCCGTGCTGATCGCCTCTAGCACAGATCACGTGGTACCAAGTGGCACGCTTGCACGAAGTCAGACGCAGTCGTGCCGCACACAGCTCCTCGCCCAGCACCGTGCTCTCTGTGCGCCCGAACCCCAGCACCTGTGTGTACAATTCACATTAAGGCGACTAAGCAAACAAAATAACTTGAGATTTATATCAACAACAAGGCACTTCTTTCGTCGTTTCCACTGATGGTTCACATGCGCAGATACACTCAATCGCTCTACTTTTACGTGTCAATATCCACTTTAAGCCATTATTCAAACGATAAAACGGGAGCAACAATCCGACGAAGGTTAAGTTCCCGCCAAAACTCCCTTTGAGTAAAAATACTTTGTGGTCGTGATACCAAAGAGTATATTATAAATTATAATCCTACGTTTAATGAAGCAGGACAAAGCAGTGAAAACTAAAAACTGATGTTTGAAAAGTCAAGATGAAAAAGGTACCAAATTAACAACAAACATCCAGCTAATGGCTAAATGACCTGGTGTGTGACGTTAGAGGTTGGTATTTACAGCTCCACTGCAGACACATAATATTTCTCTTTTTTTATACAAGAAGTGTACCAAACGAACACGCAGAGTGATGGAAAGTGGATGCTGAGGTCCTTAGACTTTTACATTTATCCTCGATTAAGAATCAAAATATGCCGTGTAGTGGCGGTCAAGAATATCCACTACCCCATATCCTCCCGTGGGTGTCGTAAAAGGCGACAAAGGGAAACAGGCAGGAGATGGGCAGCAGCATCTTCCTGATAATAGCCAAAATTACAATAAAAAAAAACTGCGGTTGCCAACCCGCTCGCCAAGCGTGGCAACTATGGCAAATATCCCCCAATGATTAAAGCAACAAACAGACGGCCCCCAGTCCCCGGCGGCCCCGCTATTCCTGGCTACGGTGGCGACCATGGTGGGGCAGGGGGTGCTAAGAATCTCCAGTGGAGGTTCGGTTGCCACCTTAGACGACTCGACCTGGCAACGTACAACGCACGCACCCTGGGGACTGACGAGAAGATCGTGAAGCTGGAAGAAGAGATAGACAAGTTGCGCCTGCATATTAAAGGATTATCCGAAGTCCGAAGAGAGGGGGAGGACACGGTAATCCTCGAATCTGGCAACTTGCTCTATCACCAGGAGGGCGACCATCTGTCCCAAGGAGGTGTCGGATTTATCGTCCACAAGTCTCTCGTTAACAACGTTGTAAAGATCGGGAGTGTGTCAACGAGGGTTGCGTACCTTATACTCAGAATCACCAAACGGTATTCGCTGAAGGTCATACAGGTTTACGCACCAACCTCGGCACACCCCGATGAGGAGGTGGAGGAAATGTATGAGGATATCTCTAGAGCCATGCATTCCTCCAAAACCCAAAATACGGTGTTAATGGGATACTTCAATGCAAAACTAGGTACAAGAGAGAACGGTGAGCTGAAAGTCGGGAAATTTGGAATAGAGCAACGGAACCTAAGGGGCCAGCAGCTGGCCGACTTCATGGAGAAAGAGGGACTCTTTATGATGAACTCTTTCTTCCAGAAGCAGCCCCACAGGAAGTGGCCTGGTCGAGCCCCGACGGTTCGACAAAAAATGAGATTGACTTCATTATGACGACCAGACGACAACTGTTCAGTGATGTCTCCGTGATCGCGAGGGTGAAAACTGGTAGCGATCACTGAATGGTTAGAGGCACACTGAAACTAAACGTTAAGTTGGAGAGATCTCGTCTAATGAAGTCAACGCTCCGTCCCTCTCGTGCTCTGTTCCAGAATCCCGAAACCTTTCAGCTCGAGTTACAAAACCGTTTTCAGTGCCTATAATACTGCAATGAAGTGGACGATATCAATGACAAGCTCGTGGAAACTGTCCATGCGGTCGGAGCTAAGTTCTGCAAGAGCCGCCGCAGACGAATACAAAAACTCTCCGATCACACTCTTAATCTCATGGTTGTTAGACGGGAGATGTGGCTACATTCTTCAACAGATTTGACAGCATACAGGCAACTAAACAGACAGGTCTCCAAATGCATGCGGCGGGACTTACGCAACTTCAATACAGCTCGTATTGAAGAAGCGATCGAGCGGAACCTAGGCTCCAAAGTCTTTGCCAGAGATCTGTCTGCCAGAAAGAGCCAACTGTCAAAGCTGAAGACAGAATGTGGCAGCGTCGTTTCCAGGGCACCTGAGATTTTGAGTGAGATTGAGAGGTTCTATGGGTAGCTGTACACGTCATCGTTGGAGCCACACGCAAGTGTGAGTAACGATCCAAGAGCGAGTCTTATCCGACATTATTCCGATGATATCCCGGACGTCAGTCTGAACGAGATTAGAATGGCTCTCCAGCACTTTAAAAACGGCTAGGCCCCAGGCGAGGATGGCATTACAGCGGAGCTTCTGAAAGCGGGTGGAAAACCGGTACTTGAAGTCCTTCATAAGCTCTTTATTTCCGTCTTCCATGGTGGCACTACACCGGAGGCGTGGAGCAGAAGTGTGGTGGTCTTGTTATTCAAGAAAGGTGACAACGCTCTCTTGAAGAACTACAGACCGATTTCCCTTCTGAGCCGCGTCTACGTGCTGTTTTCGAGAGTCATTACGAATCGTCTAGCGCGCAGACTTGACGACTTCCAGCCTCCCGAACAAGCCGGTTTCCGAAAGAGCTTTAGCACCATAGGCCACATACATGCCCTTCGGCAAATTGTACAGAAGTCCGAAGAGTACAATTTGCCACTATGTCTGGCGTATGTGGACTATGAGAAAGCCTTTGATTCCGTCGAAATTTGGGCGGTGCTGCAGTCCCTTCAGCGGTGCCAAGTTGACTGTCGGTATATCGAAGTGTTGAAGTGCTTGTACAGTAGGGCTACGATGGCTATCCGAGTACAGAACCAGAGTACAAAACCTATCCAATTGCAGAGAGGTGTAAAACAGGGTGACGTCATATCCCCGAAACTCTTCACCGCTGCATTGGAAGACGTTTTCAAGCTTCTGGACTGGAAAGGATACGGTATCAACATCAATGGCGAGTACATCACTCACCTTCGATTTGCCGACGATATAGTCCTTATGGCAGAATCGCTGGAGGACCTAAGCACTATGCTCAATGACCTCAATAGTGTTTCCCAACGGATAGGTCTTAAGATGAACATGGACAAAAAAAGGATCATGTTTAATGTCCATGTCACACCTATGCCGGTAGTTATTGGGAACACTAAGCTCGAAGTTGTTGACGAGTATGTTTACCTGGGACAAATAGTCCGACTTCGACCGAGAGGTCAATCGACGGATTCAACTCGGCTGGGCAGCGTTCGGGAAGCTACGACACATTTTCTCATCAGACATACCTCAAAACCTTAAAACGAAATTGTACAACCAGTGCGTGTTGCCAGTGATGACTTACGGAACTGAGAAGTGGTCCTTCACAGCTGGCCGTATGAGGAAGCTCAAGGTCGCTCAGCAAGCTATGGAGAGGGCTATGCTCGGAGTTTCTCTGCGTGATAAACTTAGGAATGAGGATATCCGCAGTAGAACTAGAGTAACCGACATAGCCCAACGGATTTGTAAGCTGAAGTGGCAGTGGGCCGGCCATATAGCTCGAAGAACCGACAACCGATGGGTTGGGAAAGGTTCTCGAGTGGCAGCCTCGTACCGGTAGGCGAAGTATAGGATGACTCCCCACGAGATGGAGTGACGACCTGGTAAGGCATGCAGGAAGTCGATGGATGCAGGTGGCTCAGGACCGTGCTTTGTGGCATTCCTTGGGGGAGGCCTATGTTCAGCAGTGGACTTATGAAAGGCTGTAATGATGATGATGATGATGAACCAAAATACGAATGCGTTGTCACCCATGAGGAGTAAGATGGAATGCCTCGTTCCCAGTAAAAAGTGTCTCAGGTTCTGTACACTGAACAAAAGAAACGCAGGAGCATTAAACTGCTAATTTACACTGGTATTCTGTAAGAGCGTGTTCCTTTCCTGGTCGAGCCGACACATTCGTACTACAACCCTAATATATAGCTGCAGCTCAACCACTGTAACAATCCTGCTAGTAATAATACCTGATAAACATATTTGTATTCAAACTGTGGGTTTTTCTATTGATTAATTAGGAGCCTTCTCGTAAAACAATACCTATTATGCTCGAACTCTCCCCGTGAGTGCCGCTGAATGCCGCTATATGTCGTGCCACTTATCACTGCACCAGAGTATGTTCAAGTAGTTGAATTAAGTCACACGCTATTATAAAATAATCATAGTTTAGACGTAGAATATCTTGTTAAATTAAATATATTTAACAACCGCAAGTTAATCGTTCATTTACTAAATACAATTAATAAATACAAAAACTATTAATTGGAAAGCTTGTCGACAGCAGCACTAGTCAGTAATTATAAGAAGCAATCATTTTGTCGTCTTAACACAATCACATTCATCCCTAGTATCCAATACTCCATATCGTCACACCGAGGGCGATCGTAACAGGCGGCAGAGGAAACTGAGACATGAGATGGACACCAGCGTCTGCTTGATAACGACTCAAAATAATAATAATAAACTGCGTTTGCCTTGTGATGTAATTTTTAACAAATATTTTACGATCCCCAATCTACTCAATAATCATTGCGATTGTAGGTAAATCAAATATCGTATGGTAGAGCCACGCCACATCCATTATAGATACAATATTATGACTCAACTCAAATGAGTCGGCTCCGCCGAGGAAAGGCCTACGCTACGGATACCAACCTAAAATAGCAGCGTGACGTTGCTGTGATTCTTATGATGATTGTAGAGAACCTGAGACTTATTACTGGATACGAGGCATTTCATTTTACTCCTCAAAGGTAAGGCATCTGCATTTTAATTTTAAATCGTTTATATAAATGTAGATATTTACAGACCGCAATGTCTACTAAGATTCTGTCGTTTGTCTTCCTTACTTTTTAGGGTTCCATACCCAAAGAGTAACCAACGGGACCCTATTACTAAGCCTGCGCTGTCTGTCCGTTAACCCGTCCGTTCGTCAGTCCGTCCATCTGTCTTTCAGCGGGCTGTATCTCATGATTTGTAATAGGTAGACAGTTAAAATTCCCACAGAATGTGTATTTCTATTGCCGCCGGACACGAGTCTGTACGGAGAAACCCGGCAGATTTACGGAAATCGCTACGTTTCGCAGGCAGAATGATGACCGCAGCGTCATACGTCTCGCTCCCTTCGCGCTGTTCCGGTACGGTAGGTTACGGTTATCGGTCGGAAGCTTTACGATCTATCGGACATTTCCCATAATTGCTTTTTACGACATTTACGGGAAGAAATGGGCCATGAATTTTGTTATAGAATTTGGGTGATAAACGAGCACAGTAAATGAATACTGTGGCTCATAGACATACATCAACCCTCGATCAAGTATAAAAATTCAGATGCGTTGTCACTCTGCAGCGTGGCTCTACCACGTATAAACTAATAATATTACGTTCTAACGCACATAAATATTCATTTATTTTTAGTTATTACATCAGGGGTGTTGTGTGCTCGTTTGTCACCGTTATTCTATCAAAAAGTAACTATTGATCATTAATATCGCAAAAGGCATTACTTGAACTTCTTTGTGTAAAAGATTCATCGGATCGTAGCGACGAAAGTTCAACAAGGAATCAGACGGTAGTGAAACGTGGAGCTTCATCACATCCCTTGTTCGAATGAGTCCCACGTCGTGGTGGAGGAGCGTAACGTCCATGCCAAGGCCATCGTCCTCTTGCAAAACTCTATACCTATTCAAGAAGGGATTTTACAATACACGTTGATACTTCCGGTGATATGAGTAGTGTCAATAAATAAAAAATATCAAAAGAGGTAGAATACATTTTTTTCTTTTAAACTTTTATAATTGTGTTCGAATATGATCTCACCTGACCGTAGGTGAAAATGCTGTTTTAGATGGTGAACCAGAGTCTGAAAGTTAGCGTTGTTTAACTTCCATGCATCGGAAAGTACGTAAAGCTTTTGATGCAGCCTGTACCTGTGCTTGCGCTCACAGACGTGCACTATAATCCTTACTGCGCAGATATCCTTACTGCTAGTCTCCGTTGAGACTGAACGCTGGGACTAAAATTCGGTGTGGGGGGATATTTTTTGTATATCTACTGCTTAAGGTAATAAAACTCACCGTGCGTCTTGCTATTCGGAAAGCCAACGGCAAACGCATACAATAATCATTTAATACACATTTTATGAACTAAAACATTTCTTATTCGGATATAGCTTCGGCCTATACTTTTTTCTTTTGTTTTTAAATACTAGTAATGCTATTAAAAATTACTAATATTCCCTTTAACCACTTCTGGTAAGCTTAAAATGCTTGTGTTACAAGTGGTTCACGATCACGATCAATAGTCAAATGGTGGATTTGAACCTACGATCTTTCGAGTTCGTGGTCCGCACGCTGCCATTAGGCTACTGAAGCTTCTTACTATATTATACTGTAGGTGAGAAAATAAAACTCACTCAAAATCATAGATTTTAATTAAAATTTTATTGCTATGAATTATCACTTAATAAAATCGTCCCTCTGATGATAAAAAATCTGACTGTCGATGAAATGCAGCATGATCAGTGCGAGAGTGTTGGCTTTGCGCACACCAGCCTGCCTGCCCAGGGTGGTATTTATGACAACGTTTAAGTGGCGCGTATATATTCTTATATTCTTATATTTACGCAAACACCACATTGCAACCACACTACAATAAAACTATTTTTTTACCAATTTGATCGCCTTTAGTTTTTAATTTTTACTTATTTTTAATTTACGACGTATCGGGTACTTTGCGACACCCATGGTTACGGGGGGAATAAGGTGATTGATGTCCCGATGTCAAAGTTAAACCGGATTACCTTGATTAAAAAGCTGAAGGTCCATAAAAATAGTTTTATTTAACTCACATATATGGATATTGAAACATTCTTGTAAGATCTATGTCCAATTTTATATATAAAGTCTGTTTACGTTACGTATGATAATGATGTATGTTAAATTGGTATGATCAGCGGTAAAAGATCACTTACTCAGGATGTTGGTATAAGTAATGAACAGCTGCAACGTTCCCTTCATTGAAGATTGGACGCCGGGTATTGTATTTGATATAGGTAATGCGTGAAGAGACGCAGTGCGCAGCTGTGAGCACCCAGTGCGGTGACAGAACTGAAGCTGAACATCGCGTCGTCCAGTAGCGGTCAAGCAAAGCACAAGTGGCAGGAAACTCCCTCAGTTCTGCTGCAGCGCCGCCGAATACACGTCGAGCTCCTGCCACTCTGCTGTCGCGAAGGTCACGAAAAAATGCATAGGTGCTAATATTGCTTGCACCTCCTATCTCCCATACAAGTAAACACAACATAAACGCCGCTCGTGGAACACTCATGTTAGTACGTTAAGTAATGTTTTTCTTAAAATAATAATTGCATTTTGACGGTCGTAGAAACATCTTGTCAATTGTAATCAAATTATAATTGAAATGAGTATATAATTACTATTGTATGATCGTTGTGATTATATACTCTTTGTTCAGAAGTTTTTAGCAATTTGAATTTGCAAGTCACCAAAGAGTATGAATATACTCGTTAAGTCTCGTCAGTCATTTTATACGTGGTAGAGCCATGCTGCAGCTATATTATGGTTAGCTCGACCGGGGAAGGACCACGCTCTCACAGAAAACCAGCGTAAAATAGTAGCTTAACGCTGCTGTGTTTCGTTTGGTGAGTGTAGAGAACCGGAGACCCTTTTTACTGGAAACGAGGCATTCCATCTTAGTCCTCACGGGTGACAACGCATCTGCATTTTGATTCTTAATCGAAGATAGATGTAGATGTCTATGGGCCACAGCAACCACTTACCATCAGGTGGACTGTGTGCTCGTTTATCACCCTTATCCTATAAAAAAAAAGTCAGTCCTCGACGCCAGCACTGGCGCCTGTTACTGACTCCGTGTAAATCAGCATTAAGTATCTATAACAATTTATTATAAGCATAGATTTAAATGAGGCATTCCATCTTAGTCCTCACGGGTGACAACGCATCTACATTTTGATTTGTAATAGAGGATAGATGTAGATGTCTATGGGCCGCAGCAACCACTTACCATCAGGTGGACTGTGTGCTCGTTTGTCACCCTTATCCCATAAAAAAAATATAATGGCGTAATTATGCGTATTTAATGTCACTGATCCTCACTCATCGAACGATTCATGAAGAATTGATATCTCTAATTATTTGTCGTAATAATCCAAGATTACTTTTTATTATAATTATTGTATATTATAGTATTATATATATATAGTATTATACATATTTCAATAATACAAAGATAGTACGATTCGGTGAGCTCATACGTCTAACATCTCATTGGGTTAATATTTGCAAGTTTCTAGTCGCCTTAAAGAGTAGAGACCAGTTTAGAGACCAACTAAGATAAAATTAATCACAAGCTTACTATAGAATTTTTGGAAATATACGTAAATTTTTTGGTGCTTATCATCACAACAGGGAAAACTCTAACTAGAGTTTCCGAGATGGAAATATCTTCCGAACGACTAAATAATGGACGACTTAAGATAAGACGAAACAAGAAGTATAGTAATTTGATAGAGGACAGCTTAAGACGTGAATGACTTAAGAGTGGACGAATTAAAAAGTGAACAAAAGAACTGGTCGATAATGGAAGTGAACGATCCGATCCGTAACGCCTCTAAGTCCCGATTTTGTACTGTCATTTTCATGTTGTAATCCCTGATTAACTTCACAAAATAATAATGTACTGCTGTATATATTTTTTCTGTTGTTTACTGTTTCGCTCTCCTGAGCTATGTTTAAGGTAAGGATTCGCGATCTCATGCCTTGTACCTCATTTTTTTTATAGGATAACGGTGACAAACGAGCACACAGTCCACCTGATGGTAAGTGGTTGCTGCGGCCCATAGACATCTACATCTATCCTCTGTTACAAATCAAAATGTAGATGCGTTGTCACCCGTGAGTACTAAGATGGAATGCCTCATTTCCAGTAAAAAGGGCCTCCGGCCACCTGCACTCACCAAGCGAAACGCAGAGGTAAACCTGGTTTTCTGTGAGGTCTACTTCACGCTGGTTTTCTGTGAGGTCGTGGTACTACCCCGGTTCGAGCCGGCCCATCCGTGCGACAGCAAAAGCTGCCGCGTGGCTCTACCACTATTAATAAACCTCTTCATTATATGCCATTCTGGATCTCATTAAGGGCACAACCTACATCCAGGACGTTACTGTGCGTGCAAAGACATTCCTGGTTAATATTAGCTACATAATTAATATAAGGTACGTGTAGTGCAGTAGGACCAGGTTTTGATGAAGGGCATCTGGCTGTCGTCGCCAATGAGAAAAAAATAATTTTCACTTGTGATTCGCACTACCATCATTATGGTCTTATGCCGTTTACAAAAGTTGGGATTAGATTAGGACAGTACTTCATGGTTTCTACAAGAGATTACACCCTGATGGCCGCTTACTGAATATTGTTTATATATTTAAGTAGAAATTATTTACTTTTTGAAGTGAAAACTTCTTTAGCATCGTTGTCATTTGAAACAAATGAAACGAAACAGCGACACTAAAAGAGACAAATATATAAATCTATAGGAGAGAATGAGATAAATTCTAGACTAGTTTACTTCAGCTATTTCCATAGCATAATGTCGTATGGTATTTTGCTATGGGGACACGCAGCTGACACTGAAATTATATTCGTTTTACAGAAGAGGGCCATAAGAGCAATTTATGATTTAAAGCCTAAAGAGTCGCTGCGACAAAAATTTAAGTAAATTAATATATTAACTTTGGCCTCTCAATACATTTATGAAAATGTAATGTACGTACACAAAAATAAAAGTACTTTACAAAGATAAGTGATATTCATTCTGTAAATACTAGGAACAGACACAAGCTAGTAGTACCAGTTAATCAACTCCATCGAGTCAGTAATTCATTCTTGGGGCGAAGTATACGCTTTTACAACAAAATTCCAGAAAATATACAAAGTTTGACCTGCTCAAAGTTCAAAATCTTTATTAAAGTAAGTTTGTATAAAAAAGGTTATTATAATATTAAGGAATTTATGGATGATAATAACCCCTGGAAATGAGGTGATCGCTACCAAGCTATTTCTAATTTGTTGTGTTGTTAATTTGTGTAACATCATGATTGTAAGCTGTTATTTAAAAAAAAAAGTTCCGCTGGGTTTCTTGCTGGTTGTTCCCAAGACAGAGCTTTTTTCCGAACCAGTGGTAATCAAACAAAAGAGTAACTTTCAATAAGTATTATTTATAATCCATATTGAATAAAAAACTTTCTGTTCTGTTCTGTTAATATAATAAAGCGAAAGAGGTATTTCTTTTGTTTAAACACGCTAATCTCTGGAACTACCAGTCCGATTTGATACATTATATGATAGCCAGACTCACGAGGAATATATAATATTATAGGCTATCTAGCATTAGTCTACACCTCTCACCTAGCCTTAAATATTGATTTTTGTTAAGTAAGTCGGAAGAAAAAGCGCTCCCGAACTTCTTAATCCGCCTGTGCTGGCGTAATGGTTTGTGAGACGTAAGTACTACGTTCTACAAAAATATAGATCCTTTCTCCATCGAAAACAAATCTGCGATACCAGTCTTCTTTCTTATAGAGAAGCTACTATGAGGTATTTTGTAAAAAAAAAATTGAATATTAAAAAGTGATTTGCGAGCGTGATTTAGGCATATCATATTAACCCTAACGAGCACAAGTTACTTTATCATCACGATAATTTTATGAAGATAAATTTTGCTGAACCCGCTGTTTTGAACACTGGCTGTCTTTTATGACGTAAGTAGGTGTAACCAATAATAAGATATTTTGGAAAATTTAACCTCAAAAAAAGGTGAAATATGGTATGGTAGTTGGTATTTTTTTTTAAAATTTACGGTGCGATTGACTCAAAAATTACTACAGAAGATGTTACGACTTTTTTTCAAAGCAATATCTTACAGGAGACCAGAGGTTGTTCAAATTTGTATGGAGAAAAAAGAATAAATGTTTTTTTTTATTTATTTAAAATCTCGTGTAAATACACTTGAATAAAAATTAAGAAAATATCTTTTTAAAGATGAAGTTTGTAAACATAATATATAGATTCTATATAATTATTATTTTTACAAACTTTACCTTTAAAGCTTTAAAACGGGGACCAAAGCGCTAGACGTAGAAGTGTTAAATTAAAATAATAGGTTCCTTTTATTACATAGGCATCCACTAAGAAAGGATTATGTAAAATTCAAAGCCTAAGATATTTATAGCCTATAGCCTAGATAATTTCAGCCTCTTACACATTAATACACACATTAATAATATACTCCAGGTCAAATTACTATCATCTATATCATCAATTTATATCACCCGCCACGTTGCCACCTGTGCCCCTGAGAAAATCTTGACAGAAAACCCTATAACGCGTGTTGTGCGAACTATAAAAATAATATTTTAAACTATATCACTCGGTAGCTGCCTGTGGACTCGCGGGGTGCCTCACCTCACCCCCTGCACGATAAGAGACAAGTGACATAATTGCTGTTGCACTCAAGCGCCGCTTGAAACTGCATTGTTTGCATGTATATGTAGTTGCCGCGATTTTGAACGCAATATGCATCAATGCTCCGCCTGTCATACTAAGATTAAGGACTCTGAATGCATGCAATGTTGTGTCTGTGTGGCATACTATCATTGCATATGTGTCGCCATTTCGCCTGCTCAGCTTAAAAACCTACCGACTGAAGTTAAGGCAGATTGGCTGTGCCCTGAATGTCGGAATAAAAAGCCGCACAGCGATAACTCTAATACGCCGGTCCGGCCATCGACGCCCAGTAACCCCAAAGCAAACGTTACCTTGCGCCGTAAAGGCCCGGATTCACTCCTTGAGTCAGACGCCGGTACGAGTTTTAATGTATCACGGTCGGAGTTGCGTGCTATAATACAGGAGGAGATGAGGGCCATCATGGAAGAATGCGTGAGAGATTTGAAAGCTGACCTGAATAGACAACTAAAGGCTTTTAGGGGAGAGATCACTGGTCTCACGGAATCAATACAATTCATGAATGATTCGTTTGAGCAATTTAATAAGGATTTGAGTGGCTGTAAGACTAAAATTGACACAATTATTAAGGAAAAGGAAACCCTACAGAGTGATCTTATCATCATTACTAGCCGTCTTAATCAAATGGAGCAAATCTCTCCTGGAAATCCAATGTGTTCCTGAGCGTAAGTCTGAAAACGTTTTATCTATTGTAACATAATTGAGCAAAACCATGTCTTGCCCTATAAGCGAGTCGCATATCT